CCTCACGGATTCCAGCTCCCTTTTCCATCTCCTGAGTACATCTGTGCACTTATCCACATCCATGCCTTGTGTTATTTATTGCTTAAATTCCTCTGCCCCTCCACACATAGGTGCATGCATACCCTTTCTCCACTTGGCAAAATCCCAACTCCAGTGGTGCTTCTTGTCCTATATCTTCCCTTTTCCTTCCCTCCCTAATTGCTCACAGCACCCTTAGTCATTGCATCATTTGCAAGGCGCATATCACACTGCACTCTGGTCAGTTGTCACTTGGCTGCCATAAGGGGCAGTGGTGTAACTGACCAGAAGACACTTTGCGGGTGAAGAGTACAATTTCTTAGACAGAGACAGCTGCATGGGGCCAGAGTCAGCAACACTCCCAGTTGGAGAGGCAAGCTCCCCTGCCCAGCTCTCACTGATACCCCAGACAAGAGTGAGGTTCCCATTCAGTACTTGAGAAGCTCTCTTTTCCTTTCTCAGGAAAGGTTTGTTAAGTCTGCAGCTGCCCTCCCCTAGCAAATGCTTAGGAGACTCGCTAGACACAAGTAACTGGTAACAATTCACTCCCATTGCTCAGCATATCCTGTGAGAATCAGTCTTTTTCCCCTGATCACTCCCAGACATGCCGTTCCGTCAGGCCTAAACTTCAGGCCTGCTTGAACTCTACTCCTGCAGCTTCTGTAAGTGGAATATTTATCTTTTATATGGAAACCAGAGAATTCATTGCAATTCTCAAGGCAAGATCATTTATCCATCCTACCAGGGGGAAGACCATGAAGATAATGTGTCCTAGAATACAACTCCTAAAACATCTCTCAAGAAATTGTTCTCAAAAGTTATATCTATGAAAACATTACTGAGGAAAAATATTCTTTAATTTTCAAAGCACTGTCCTTAAATTTTATGAGAAATGTATGCTTGGGAATGACACAAGGAAATAGATAAATTAATTAAATAATGAATGGGAAAAAGTCAAGACATCGGTAGACCAATAGGAAATTAGAAACAGACGCTAATTTTAAAAGCTGTATATGTATATATGACTTGGGTTGACAGATAGGAGGTCTTGGAATGTGGCTGCTGCACATTGCTTTGGAGTTTTATCTTTTTGAATTCCTGTAGTTGTATTATGGTCACGATTTGGAGTGTGGTATGGTCAAAATAAAATTTGCTCCAATAAGAGACTTTGGTGGAAAGCCTGCCTGTTTTACAAATTCATGTTTCCTGCAATGGCTATCAGAACAGGAGTCTCTGACAGAAAGCAGCACAACAGGGAGTGAATATCTGGATCCAAATAGTGAGCTTTTCCAGCTATATCTCTCCTTGCCCAAATTGTTTCATTTGTAAAATGGAAACCATCACAGATATATGGTGCAGTGGAATGAACACGGTCCTGGAATTTAGAAGGCTCAGGGTCTAGTTCCAGCTCTGACACTGATTAACCATGTCACCTCTTTTAGCTTTAGCTTACTTGTCCACAAAATAAAGTCATTCAAATGAGGTTACAACTAGAAAGGACATTGGAGGTTAGGGTGCATCAACTTTTAAAATGGGGTGAACATCCCTACCCCCAAGGGGATTTCACGGAGTGACAGTTTTTGAAGTTTTGATTATAAAAAACAATGAGTATAATAATTATGCTTTTTCAAAACATATTTTACTTCTCATCATCCAATATCTACCTGCACGCTCAACCCCAGCTCCCACTTCAGGCAGCTGAGAACCATTGACCTAGGCCAGTCACATTCTTCTGGCCACCCTCATGGGCTGATTAGCATTGCCCTCTGCTCCATCCTGTAAGCCTTTGCTAACTTCAATTTGCTAAAGGTAATCTCTGTGTATCTCACCTTCTCCTCTCCTACCCTTATCAAATAAGTATAACCTCATTGGTCAGGATTTCTCAGAGTGGTTTCAACCACCTTCCTAGCCTTACTTCAATCCTTATCCATGAGTATCCTGGGCTATAGCCTAGTTTACTCAGTGTTCCCTGAAGATAGCTCACATGTCACTACCCAGAACCCCTTTCTCCTCTTCTACCTGTCAAAGCTCAACCACTTTCCCTGACCTCTAAAACAGATATGCTGCCTCCCTTCTTTGAATGTCCATGGGATTTTGTTTATACTTAACTATGTATTTGTCATACTTCAATAACAGAAGGTTCTTGAGGATAGCAGTTGTAATTATTCAGCTTCATAGGACCCAAAGATTCCAATATAACAGGGTTTGCAACCTTTTGACGATGATCCACACCAATATACATATTTACATTGTGATCTAGTATACCCATGTATGTAGGCATATTTATACTTGACCCAAAGTTTTCATAACATAATACATATTCTCATTGCATTTGATGCACTCTGATGTTTTCTTTCTTTTCTGTTCTGTCTTGTTTCTTTTAATGCTGCTCTGAATTGATTTCACAACCCTTAGTCACATAAGCATAATATAGCACATTGCCCATAGTAGGTGTACTGTTGTATATGTTTAATGAAATTGACTGACCTTTTGCCAAAATCATTATAAAAATATTACTGATCTGTGTATATATTCAATTAATCTATTTTGATATATTATGTTTACTTAGATTTCAATGTCACACAAAAAACCTTTTATATTCCCAAAGTGACGCTGTTTTGATTTTAATTTTATGGGAGAAAACCTATCTAAGAAAGCAGCTGCAATTCATTCTTACCCATTTTTAAAGTATGAAGATGAAGAGATGTAGCTGTACAATAATGATCACAATGAAGGCAAAGCTCCTAAGAGTAATGTATTTGACATAATAGCTACTATTTATTGATTGCTGGGTATGGCCAGGCACTGTGCTAGGTGCTTTATGTACCTTTCCTTTAATCCTGTGACAACTCTTAACAGGGTAAGATATCACCT